GCGAGGCAGAGGCAGGACTCGTCCATGCCCCGCAACAGCTGCAACAGAAGGACAACTATTTCCAATTTGGGGCAGTTGCAGTTAATCCCTCTGCCAATTAAAACAAACCCCGGCCACTGCCACTCCTGTCACACGTGTGTATTACGTATGCGACATGTTGTCGCGGGGCAGGCAGAGGGCCATGGACTCAACTTGAAATTTGAATTTTTCCTTTTTATTAATTTTTCCCATTTTTGTCATCCCTCGCTTGGGAAATTCCCAGCGGAAAATGGCAGTAAACAAGGTTCAACAATTTGTCGTCTATGTTGGTAAGGTGGGAGGGGGGGGAGGTGCAGCGTGCGAGTGGGGACATGTGAGTGGCATGAGGCATGCGGCATGCATTCTTGTATTAACCATCGATACAGAGTTGAGAGTGAGAGGAGAGCAGCGTTTGCTTTGATAATGAAAAATAATCATAAAAGTGGCTGCTCCACTAACGGTGGTGTGTGGGTGGTGGTGGGGCACTTGCAACACTCTACTCTGGGGCACTGTTGCACACGATTCCACGCGATTTATGCCCTTTATTAGATTTCACAAGTTTCGAGAGCCACCGTGAGAGTGGTAACTGCTGCATGCCACGGAACATGCCTGTCCTGTCATGTCCTTCCTCCATACGGCTTACTCTGTAGTTTATTTCGTTTATCCACATAGTCCGATAGGAGATCCCCCTCTCCCTCTCTCTCTCTCTCTCTCTCTTTCTGCAGAGATAATATTATTCTTTGGGGCACGAGGCAAGGCTCGATTGTCACGCATTTTGGTGGAACGGGAGGAGTGTATGTTCGGGCACCCTAGAGAGCATTCTTTATGCTTTTTTTGGGGATTGGAATATTTGTATTTCCTGTTTGCCGTTGGCAGAGATCTAATGTTTTGTTACAAATTTCTTTTCTGGTTATGTTGCTTGACAGTGGGGCACGGGGAGAGGCCTCGGTCCGACAGGCCGCCCGGCAATTGAAACGGAAATTAAAAACTTTCCACCCCCGCATGCTGTCTGGGAATGGGACTCAAAATTCTATGTGATGTTTTTTTGTATATATTCAATGAATTTGTGGCATTTATTTGCATTCTGTGGCATCACCAGAGATTCTCATTATGTGGCATTGCCCCCCTTCCGAGCATCATTAATGCATAATCTCTCGCATCCATCGGTTATATGCTGCCGCGAATATGTTTTTAACTACATTAAGTGGCAAGTGGCGGGGATTTTGTTTGTGTAATTCGATGAAAGTGTTGCATAATGAAATGTGCAAACATCGCTGCTGGCCCGAGGCACGAATATTTGTAGGATGGAGGCTGGCGGATCGGTTCTGTGGCAACTGATGAGGGATTATTGAAAAATAATTCTACTGACATAATTCTGCCTCCTGCCTCGTGCTTTGACCACTGAAAATGTGATTAATTTTAAATATTTAACACATTAAAATAATGAAATTTGCATTTAGTTTTTTGGGAGACTCCAAATGTCTGATGTTTCTTTAAAGAAGGGGAAAACAAAACGAGTTATTAAATGGATGATTCTTTACTCTCGTTGAGGGTTGAGCAAGAGAAAATCCAATAATTTGTCTTGTTTTCGCCATATTTCAATGGTCAAAAGGGGTCCTGCCCCAATGCATCTCATTCATGGTGCGCCTCGTTCTGGAAACGACGTTAACATAACCATTGGAAATGAAAGTGGAAATGAAAATGCAAATGGAAAAATGGTAAATGGAAATGCAGAGGCAGCCTTTAATTGCTGCCGTAAGGCAAAAGGCATTTCATTTTCATTTTATAATACAATTTTCACACATCACTCAACGGCTATGGCAATGGAAATCGCATTGTCCTGTAGCTCTGAACTCCTGAAGTCTCCGTGTCCGTGTACCATACTGTACGCCACATGACCATTGATATGTGCGGCTGACGCATCGTTGTGGCAGGGTCTGAATAGTTGCGACAGAAACAAGACCCTTGATGCCTGCCATTTTGTGCCGGTAAAGTGCTTACATTTTTTTTAGGGCTACTTTCATCACCAGCCTGGGTGCAGCCTCAATGAATTTTAATAAAACCAAAAGTGCTGGCAGCAGTTCTTCCATCTGTCCTCTGCCGCCTGAAAGTTGAGCATTCAACAAGATTACAGCAGAGAGGCGTTGGCCAATGGCCACTGGACTTTGTTCGTTTGTCCGTGTCCTTGTTTCACCTCTTTTCAGAGAACGCATGCAACGCAGCAATCCCTCTGCCTGGTCTCCTGTGGGGTGAACAGCTGCTTCGTCTGCCCCGCAGTTATAATTAAAGCACAAACCATGTTTGAGGAGCGTCTGTCCGTCTGTCTGTCCGTCTGTCTCTTGTACAATAATCGCATTTCGAAGGGCGATGAACAGAACAGAAAAGAACAAACAGTGCAAAAAATAAGACCGAAAGGTGAATGAAATGTTCGTGGGGCATAGTATTGGGAGGGCTGCAAGCGTCCGTTCAATGGTTTGCCTCACTCTCGCTCTCCCACTCTGAAGAGCGTTGATGCGATATTGTTGTGGTGATTAAAATATGCCTGAATAATGCTGAAATGCTGAATTGCTGCACGGTGATGTGTGGCATGCTGGCTGTTGACTCTCGTTCACCAGTGCATCCTCCTGCGGCAGCCACAGCCACAGGCATTTTGACTGCGCCGAAAAGTAGACTTCCGTCCCAGTGGCAAGGCACTCACTCTGTTGGTGTAGTGGAGTGGAGCGAAGCGAAGCGAAGGCTGCCCCTCGTTGTGGCGGCAATTGGCGTGTGCTTTTAAAGCTGCATAAAAGAAGTGGCAGAGCCAAGTGGCTAGCTCCATGGGGATTCCCTGCCCACCTTCCATCTTGCGTTTAAATTTGTGCATAAATTTACACTTGCGCCTCCCCTGTGCCCTCGGATCGGATTGGGAGTGCGGTGTGGCCTGGCGCGGTGTGGTGTGGCACCCCGAAGGTGTCATTCATTGAGTGGAAATTTTTTACTACTATTATTATTATTATTATAACTCTCTCTCTCTACGCCCCTAAATGCCGTGGGGCAAGTGGCATATGGCATGTTTAACTCGTTCTACCTTCCGCTCGGCTCCTCCTCTCTTTTCTTTCCCCTCTCTGGGAAAACCCTTTCCTTTTAGTCTCTTTTAATTCAAGTAACATTTTTCGGGCTTGGACCCAAAGTTTCTTCCCCCCCTCGCTCTCGCTCTCTCTCGGTCCCTTTATGTTTGTGCAACACTTGCGGCTACTGTTACTCCTCCTGCTCCTGCTGCTGCTGCTGCTGCTTGTGTCGTTGTAGTTTTTGCCCGACAAAATGCTCGATGGCGTTGTAAAATGTAATCATTGTGGCGTGTAATTAGTTTTTATACATGTACATACACATGTATCTGTGTGTGTTTGTGTCAATGTGGACTCCATGTCCATGTATAAGTGCATTTACCCCAAAAGAGTGTAAGTGCCAGTCTCTGTGTGTGTATAAATAAAATTTATTATTGCATTAACGCTTTGGGGGCCAGAGCAGAGAGAGATCACTGTTGCTGCCTTCTACTGCCTCTCCCCCCGGTCACACGCACTGAAGCACTGCAACACACGTACACATACGCACATGTGTATGCAAATGCATGCCACATTCGGTGTGTGCGTGGAATGCATTTAATTGGGAATCGGGGAATCGAAAATCGAGCAATTGAGAGGGTTACCCCAAAGGTTAGGGCTAGATTTTTCCTGTATACACACGAAGGAGACTGATTCACTTGGGACTGTGCTCGAGACCTTTCGGTAGAATATTTTACTATAGTAGTTTTCCGACAAATAGTTACACAGAATGGGATTAATCTCAATATATGGGCATTTCTGTGCCGCGATAGTTTTTTATCTAAATGAATTGATAATTATTTAAAAAAAAATGCATTTCATTTGATGTGAAAACTCATTGATATAAGCAAAAGTTCACTTTCTCACGTTCTCACACTGAGAGTTTGTGACCCCGTGTGACATGTCCCGTCCGTCATATTTTTGTAAAATTATAGCTACTTTATAGAGACATCAATGGACCAGACTTATTCAAAATTCGCATTATTATATGGCATTTATTGCATTATTGCAATCCGACATCAGAGAATTGCCCATAGGTATATCTGTATTTATTTTGTGGATAAATTTGAGCATACAGTAAAGGCCCTTCCATCCATAGAAACTTCCCTCGCACTCTGTACACTCTCACCCTCTCCGCACTCTCTTCTCTCCTTTATGTTCAACCATCAAGCATTCACCCATCGACGACCACATGTCGTATTAGTAATAATAATTTACACATTACTATTCCTGTTCCTGTTGCTGCTGTGAGTAAGTACATATTGAGAGGGGTAGTGGAGCTGTGGAGTATTCGTGGGGTGTGGCAGTGGCAATAGTTTTCGTGTGCTGCGTGTGGCCAACGCTCTCAATCAATAGTCAATTTTCAATTTGTGTCCCTGTGTCCGTGTGTCCCCTCGTGTTCGTGTGGCGGCAGCATTGATTGGCGGTTGTTTAGGGTCAACCCCATCTCCTGCACCCTGCCTCCTGCTGTTGCTCCTGCTGCTGCTGCTGTTGTTGTAAGCCAATTGATTTGTTGTTCTCTTTGCTGCTGCTGTCGCCACTCTGAATTGTGGTGCCCCTGAGCCCCCTTGGGAGTCCAGCGGAAATGCCACGCAATTTGTTTGTTCGCACTCAAGCCGCAAACATTGTGGAAATTAACTTGTTAAGCTCCTGCGGGGAGGGATGGGTGGGCAAGGGTAAGGGTAAGGGTAAGGGAGAGGAAGTCTGGCCGGGGTAATTGACATTCGATTTATAATGGCAGCGCCACTCGTGTATTTTGAAATTTCTGTGGTACATAATTATCCTTAATTCTGAGGCCAATAAACGAGCGCTAAATTGAGATACTTTTTGGGAATACTTCAAGCTAACAAAGTAGCCAGCCCCCGGTTTCGATAGTCAGTATTATTTCAGTCTACACACAAATTTCTGGTTAATTTTGTAAATTTTAAATTACTTGCAAGACAGTCTCCTGAGTCTCAAAGTTCAATCAATTTACGGATTAGTCATTGAAATTTTTACAAGAAAACAAGGAAGAAAGCAGGCGCACGTAATGTCGAACATTTCATTGACAATTGATCCACCGGAGGTGGATGATCGCGAGGAGGAGGAAGCCAAATGGATGCAACTGTACTTCCAGCAGTTCTCCAGCGAAAGGCTGGTGAAATCAAGCCCAACTGACGTAGATGGTGAGGCGCCTTTTGAGCCTGTGTTTTACTTTTTCCAAGTACCAGAAGCATTTCCAGCGGAAGCGATGGCAGGCAGAAACCGCAGGGCCTTGCGGCCAGTTCCACAGGGCAGCCGGCGCCGCCGTTCTCGGCGTCTCTCAGGCCTACGACTCCGTGGGGCAGGTAACCGCCGCCTCTTCCCCAATATTGGACGTGTGTTTCGTGCACGGAATCCCCTCGGACGCTTCCATCGACTGCATCGAGTACGCGACATCAGTTCGGACGATAATCTAGGCGCTGATGTTCTGGCCCGTGCTGGTTATGTGTATCGCGCACGCTGATGAAACCGATGACCTCGAGCTTCTTTTCCATGAATAAAGAAAATTATTGCAAGGATCGTAGTTAGGGATTGCAAGGGGTACGGGGAAGGAACTGCATCATTTCCGTATTCCATTTCCTATGCTGCTGCCTCTGCCATGGTGTCCGCATCCATGGCTTTGCGGTTTTTCCATTTAAAGTTCAAGTGGGCGCAAAATCAGGGCTTATAGGGGGACTGCAGGGCAGGGCAGAGGCTGCTCTGCAACGACTTCATTTGCAACATCAATCCCGACCTCATCATCAAGTTGTGTCTGCTGTGGCACTCGCATTACGCATTACGCATTACGTTTAATAAGGCGTGTGGCATCCTCCCCAGAAGAGGCAGAAGTACTAGAGGATTGAATGGGGCATATCCTGGGCCAGCAGGCAGAGTGGCTGTGGGGCATCTGTATAATTAGCTTTAATGGCCTAATGCGCGTTGGCCATTGCCGTGGCTCTTGCCCCTGGCCTCTGGCTCTTCTCGACAGCCGCGCTGACATGGAGGAGCAGCTAGCAGGAAGAGACGAGTGAATCCTTTGACACGATTCTCGTTTAAATAAGAGAAAACCCTTTGCCTTTGAGGGTGCTGCTACTCGAGTATTAATGAAAGAACTGCCTCTGTCCCTGTTCCTGCCGCACTTTAAAGCAATTTTGCAACCAAACAAATTTCCAGGAAAAGCGAAGCTCCAGAAAAGAGTTCGAGCGAATTCCACGAACGACTATTTATTTGCCCCCAATTGCTGTACGCCTCCGCCTCCATTCACACGTAGCAGATGCTGGTGCTGCTCTACAAAAACTTCTTGCCTCATAACTTCACATTGAAGAAGATGCATATGCAACACGTTCGTGCCATTCACAGTGGCTACCGCTGCTCCAATGATTCTCTCTCTGTGCCACAGAAAGAAGAACTACCTGCCTCATGCAGCTGCACCTTTGTGACTTGGAAACGAGAATCGAGAGCCAGGAAAATGTTTGCCTTCGCTCCATCGAAGGAGACGGAAGAGGAGGAGGATATATTACTTACTTTTTTGAAGTAAAAGAGAATCGAATATTCATTCCACTCGTGCATTCTATAGGGTATTCCCTGCCTCGACGCTTGCTCTCTGCTCTGAGTTCTACTCTGAAATCTAGGAGATAAACGGGGATGAAATGTTGCAACTTTTTCTTAGTGCTATTCGACCTTTGCATTCAGCAAGAGAAATGAATGTTTTCGGGCTGAGGCCATTCTTTCATTTTCCATATTTCAGGAGGAAGCAAAGAAAGTGAGTTGCGAATGAGCTGAAACTTAATTGAAAAATATTGTTTGCTGTTTTATGCCACATTCCCATGTCCCTCCGTTCCACTGTTGACACTCGCCACAGACAGACACACACACACCAAGCGGGGGGCACTTACCTGCAGAGGACACTCTCTGAGAAGTAGGGAAAAGGTGAATTATTCTGTTGGAGTAAGCTTTCAAAAACGTAGCATTTATTATTGTATTCTTGGGTCTGCCGTTTGCCCACTCTGTCACGAGGGGTATTCTTATACCTATACACGTAATACATACATCTACATATTATATTATATTAAATTATTTAATGACGTAGATCTGACATTTTCGTTAACCTAAAGGCTTTCCATACCCCACACAATATGTGATGGGAACTGTGATTCGATCGGAGAGCACTCTCTTCCCTTTGATATGTGTGGCATATCTTTACAACCTACAAGCAGCCACTAACTAAAACGCTGCAACATGCTCCAAAATTTAAGTGATTTCTAAACATTGTCTTTGCGAAGAAAGAAAGTAACGAGAGACGGAACGGATCCAGCCTGTCTGTTTGTTTGTCTTTCCTATTTGATTATCACGTGAGATAGAGAGAAGAGAAGCGAGGGGATAGAGAGAGAGAGAGAGAGAGAGTATCTACAAAACTAATTAACAATCAGGGGAAGCAACAAAAGATCAAGAGAGAACAGATAGGCAGCAGCCAGCACGAGCTTCATTCGAGCTTCATTCAGTTGGGGAATCGTTTCCGAATGATGAGTATTAATCCATCAAGGATGTTGGGATATGGGGGAATAGATCTTCAGCTCAATATTGTCGAGTGAGCCGCAGCCTTGCCATTCTTGCTGATCAGAGCCTTGGGACCTACAAGAAAGTAATAATTAGCTGGGATCCACAGATCAAAATGTATTGCACATACCCTCAGTGTCCGAGGCACTTGCCACGCCCATGATCTTCAGTGAGCGAAAGAGTGCACCCAGATTGGAGCGTCCGTCGAGATACTCGCTCTCCAGCCGCACCACCGCCGCCTTCTTGCTCTTCGTTTGTGTGTGCCACACAAGAATCTCCGTGCAGTTGTTGCCACGCGGCTCGATCTGGTCGAGCCTCAGGCCAATGCTACGCAAGAAGCGATCCTCCTCGAAGCCCGGCTTGTACGGCATATTTACGTTCGGGAATTGCGCCATGTACTGGAGATTCACCGCGAAACCGGCCATGTCCACGGGCCAGCGTCTGCCCGCGAGCCACGAGTCGAGGAAGGCCACAACCTTGCCCTGAAAGAGGAGATCAGTACTTCATTTCCACAGATCATCTCTTGGTCTTTACGCACTTTTCGCACCACCGGACCACTGACGCCGTAGTCCGCGATGAAGCCTACGGGGAACATGGACACCCGCTGCGTCTGACGGATCTCGGAGAAGAGCCTCAGGTCGTAGGTGTTGTCATCGTCCCCGAAGTAGAGGATGCCGTTGGTGAGGTTTCGCTGCCGCAGCCACTGCAAGGCAGCCCTGCGATTGGCCACGCCCCTTGGGGCAGGCTTTGCCTTGCGGAAATTGCTGGGCATGGGACTAGCCAGATGAGTGTAGGGAATGCCTAGAGGGTTTAAAAAAATAGCGAATTAGAAGTATATTGGCAGGATATCTAAGTGAGGTAGCTACCGAATCCCTTTAGCATCAGATCCATAAAGACATTGCATCCCTCCTGATCGTTGGCCACCAGCCAATGGAGGCGTGGCACATGCAGCAGAGTGTGGGCGAGGCGCGTCAGCTCCGGTATCTGCTCCCTGCGCGGATACGTGGGCGTCACAAAATAAATTATGGGCAGATTTCCATACTCTTCCATCGGTTTATCCTGCACGTACAGCCGCTGATCAAAGAGGCCCTCGCTGCAGAGATGAAGTGTCTCATTGAGAGCACGAGAGAGGATGCCATCTGCACAGAGAGAGAGAGAGAGAGAGAGAATGATTAGCGATGAATCAGAATTTTACAATTAGAAAAAAATGTACGAAAGACTGACCCTCCCATTGACCCCTGATCTCCAGTGGCTGTGTCTCGAGCTGGAATCACGTCAGCATTCGACAGCCGCGTGCCTTAAATGACTTTATTCTCATTCCCCCCCTTCCCATGGTCAGTTGGTAGAGAAAAAGGGTTAATTATACGCAATGGAATAATAGAGTCCTTATCCGGAGATCTTTTCCAATGCGTGAGGCGTCTCCATTATGGCACCAAAAATGTTCTTCCCCAACCCACGAAATCCCCAAATTGAAATCCGGAAAACACGCAACTGCTGTGCAGGATCGGAATGGGTTGGAAACTCCCCGATATAACAATAAAATTCCCCTGATAACAAATGGGGTAGTGGGATAATGGCACCCCCCCCCCCCCCCTCCAAACACACACACTAATAAGTTATTAAATATTGACTCCACAAACGAGAATAATGGAGCATTTGGCCGTTTGTTTATTTGTCGATATCACAGGGGCAGCAATCATAATCGTACAACTTTGGATGGCTCGGGGCTGTCCCCGTCCCCCCTTCACATGTGTGTTTGCACTTGGCTTGCCCTCTTTCCCCTCCAGTCCAATCCAAACTCCCAGCGGCTGCGGGCTGATAAACTAAACACTTGCCAAAGGAAGGGGGACAATGGCAATCTGTAGATACCTCCCCACGCACGTACCCCACATTTTTATGATTAATTGCTGGCCATAGAAAGAGTACGCACGCGAATAAAAATATGAATTTGAATTGCGGGAATGAATCAAAACGCAGACGGGTAGACCTGAAGTCTCGGTTGGGCGATTGAAATCGCTCGCTGATTAGGAAGCTCATTCTGAATTCCCCGAGCACCGAGCACCAAGGCATGGCCAAAAACAGTCACCGGATTGATACTTCGATTGATTCCTGATGCGTGGCCTTTATCTACATGTTATTGAATTGTGACCTGCCCTGTGGGACTTTCCGTCTATTCAAAAATGATTCAAGCCCGAAAAAGTAAATCAATCTTTAGATATCCATCTAGTCGTATTGATGGGACGAGAAATGTTTTCGGAGACTAAATCTAATTTGAGAATTTATCAAAAAAGTTCCAACGTAGTTCCTAATTCTAGTGCCAAGTAAATCCATTCATGAATCCGTTTCGTTTGTTTAATCTCTTGATTCATGAATGTGATTCATGGCACAAGTATTTATGGGTCTGAAGTTCAATTCCTTCCCATTATGTGTGGAGAGGCGGAAATTTACAAATTGTAAACATTGGCGTTAGACAGTTTGATGGCAATTTGAGTTGCTGTGGCATGAAGCAAGTAGCACGCCTCGAAAATATACACAAACAAAGAGTGTGTCGGGGGGCAAGCGGCACAAGCACTCGACACGCGCAATTGAAAGATACGGAAATCGACTCGAAAACGAAACGAAACAAACAGATAATCCCACAATAAAGAGAAGGTCCGATCCGCCACATCGCCCATCGACACAGATTATGGGAGGGCAACAAGTGGGAATACCTATGAAACATCCTCCCATACCTTCCTCCCTCTGCCCCTTGAGTACTTTTTGCATTTGTTGTTTCTCATGAGAATCCAAAACAAATGCGAACTCTGGAATCATTTGAGTGGAAGTTGAAAAAAGAGGAAGAGGTAGAGAAGGAAGGAAAAGTGCACTTAAATAAGGGGTGGGTAGGTGTGCCATTCAGAAATAAATAACTGATTCAAATATGAGTACGAGTCGTAGACTGCAGATATGAAATTTTGTTTGCACGATTACGAATCCGTATGCCATAATGGCATGGGTGGCGCATAGAGGGTGTCGGACGCTTAATTTTAGATTTCTTAAGCCAAGCAAAATCAATCGATTGCTGTCCCACAATGGACATGCCCATTCACACCGCGGTATTCCCGGAAAAACGAAGAAACAGGGCGAAATTGGCTAATAAATTACACATCGGCCATCGGCCAACGAGAATGCCAGAAAGGAGGCTAGTAGAAGCTTGAATACCCTACCCACACCAGCAAGGAAAATTATTGAAGGCTGTGGATTTCTATTGGTTATTCCCCATACCATGTGAGGGTTTACTATCCATAGAATAACTATTGTCACACCCATTCTCCACCTATACCCTGTGCCCACTTTGGTGAAGGCGTGTGAAGTGGAAAGCCCAGTTAGACTTGGAAAATGTGACCTTGCCAACGGCGCGGCGCGGCTTTCGCGGCGTGCAATAAAAAAGCGGTGGACGATGGGGGGGAGTGTGATGGAGTGTATCTGTCGCGTGTATTTACCCGTTGCAAGACAATGCCATTAAATTAGACCAATTACCGCGCAGGGGGAATAAATAATATAACAAAAAGTAACAACAGCAACTGAGCGTCATGAAACTGAAACCAGAAACTGACAGCCGAAAGAGCAGCAAACAACCAACACCGAAGCGAAGTGGATCGACCAGTTACATGCGATATTAACCGCGGCCAATTACTCATCATGCCGGGGGGAATAAACGCGTCGGAGAGGAAGCAGTAGTGGCTGTCACAGTGCCCCCTATTTGGGTATGCCCCATGCTCGTGTAGGGTATCGCAGTCCGTTTTATTCGTTGGCCAAAAGCCAAAAAACGCTGAAAAACAGAAAGTGAAAGTGGGGTCTCTCCCTCTCTCTCTCTGTCGTAAATCACTTTCCAGTACGTCGTGAGAATGCATTTAACTAAGGAGCGGGAGTGGGCTGGACAGGTGCAATATGCAACTCATCTAGAGTGTTAGAAGGGAGGGTAGGGAACTCACTCACTCACATTTTCTATATGGATTACGAATTCTTGAATCTATTCGATTTCGTGTCATTTCGATTTGGAGATCTTGAGCATCGCCCATGGGCATTGTCTTGCGTTGGCTGGCTATCACGCGGAAGCGGGAGAGGCCACGGGATTGGGATTGCTTACCTAGGCTGTGCATGCCATCATCGGAGTCATCGGAGCCGCCTCCGACACCGCCCAGTCCCAGGGCGAGTCGCGTGTCCACGCCAAAGGTGAAGTAGCAAAAGGCGATGAGGAAGAGCAGGGCACCCACGAGGGGCAGCAGGCAGCGTCGCCTGCCACCAACGACACCACTGGCAACGCGCAGGTGGGCCATGGGCGAATGGTGATGGGCTTCTAGGAACGGTATAGAGGGTGCGGCGGCACCCTTGGGGCGCCGCTGATGTTGCTGTTGATGCCTCTCGATGTTCGCCTCCTCTTCGTCGTCGTCGGTCGATGTTAGTGGCTGGTCGAGTGGCGCGTAATAGGCACTTGGCATTATGCGGCACGGTGCAAGGTTCTCCTCGGGTGGTACTCAAATTCAGAATCAGATTCAGGCGTCAGCTGCTGCTACTGCTGCAGATCTGTGGTTGCTGGTGCTGCTGCTGCTGCATCCCCGGATCCCACGACGACTACGATGCAGAGAGCGACGCTGGCAGCGCGTGGCTGCGTTTGCCATTTGTGTGGGGTGGGGAGGGGAGGACTAGAAGCCTCGTCTGGCCGTCCTCCTGCCTCTTGCTCTCCTCTCTCCTCTATTACACAATTGCGAGCACAGAACGAAAGAAAGACCCGAAATTATGCAAATTCCAAGCTCACTTGGCCGCCGCCGCTATCTTTTTTTTTGCACAATTATTGTTATTTCTGTTTTTGTGTCTTTGCGGGCACACTCGCGTGGGCACGGGCCGACGAGAGGAATGTTTGTCTATAAAAAACAAAAATCCAAATGCACGGAGCCGACTGAACACACGCGAAGCTTTGACAAAAATCGGAATAAACTTTTGCACCGCTTGCTCTCTCTCTCTCTCTATTGTTGCTTTTTTGCTTTTGTTGTTATTTTACGCTCTACGCTTTCCAGTGTGACTGCGGCAGACTCTCGGAAATATACCGAAATATACCCTTGCATTTTAAAAATATACCGTAAATATAACGTAGTCCTAAAACATATTCCTCGATTTAGATGTTCTGTTTGATATTACTAGCTTGCAAAGTCTTTTAACACTACAACAATAATTTAATCCGTTTAAAGGATAAATTTTACATATTGTAAATACTAATTTTTATTGGTTTGTATGCCTCATGGCCTTATATTTTACAAATTTGTTTTTCAATTTTTCATTGAAATCACAGTTTCTGGAAGCAAGGGAGCTTTGTGTTCAGTATGTAAGTGTAACATGTAGAGACACATGTATGTTAACTGATATCATGAAATTATTTGAAAAATAGCGCGCGCAACAAAACCGATAACGAAATTATATTGTTATTCTGAAAGGGACTCTGACAGACTCCTACCACCGATCTAGGCTAAAACTAGTGGGTTTTTACACCATCGCTTTCCATCGTTCCCTCCAGGCCAGGTCTCGGCACGGCCACTAACCAAATAGTATAGGACAAGGCGCTGCGGCTGCGCTGCCGCTCACGCCTATTACAGTGATTCATACCAATACCAATTTAGTGAAATGTTCCGTTTCCCGTGAGTCTGCACACACAAACGCAAAAACTGCTCTTTAATTGTATGGGTGCGCCGAGCCCTGCTCTAGTCAAATATATTGTATTTACATTTAGTTTCGCATTAGTTTTTCAAACTCCCTTCGCAAAGGAAGAGGGCTTTCAAAACTCCCTTAACAAAGCAAGGGAGCTTTTATTCTGCGAAATTTGCATAAAAAAACTAAGGTGCCGACAGAAGGTAAATACGTCACAAAAAATTCCAGGTATGCAAGGTAAATTACACCTGCGTTTCACCTCAATTTGAGAACAGAAATCCCACAGAAATATACCAAAAGTAAAAATCGTTAGACTTTGATCCTCCATTTGATATTACCAGCTAATTAGGAGTCTCCGAGCTAAAACTATAATTTTATCCAATGTATCAATAAATTTTCCACAAGATTGTCTGGTTTTCAGGACTTCCTTTTCTTGGAATGTTTCCAAAGTCAAAAACTAGAATGGTCAACCAACAAAAAAGTCTAAAACGTTACGTCACGGAGAACGGAAATGTAAAATGTAAATGTAAATTTACATTAAGCCTCGAAAAACACGTTTGCTAGCAAACATTTGCTAGCGGAAGAGGCTGACCACAGGTGAAAACCGCATTCCGTACGGTTACACTTCTTAGGAAGACGTTACCTCTTTGAAAATGTTTGAAAATGGAATAAAAGGTATTAAAACAATGAATGCAAAATGGATCCATGCAGGAGATTTCTTTTAGTGGGATTGGCTCTGAACGTGGCAACAATATCGCCATTGGGATGTAGCCATCACGGGCATATATACCCGCACGTATGGGGACAATTGGGAGCAGAAATCATGTCACACACGTTGGACTCCATTAAAATTTTCAGCTGGGTGCTGAGCATGATGTTGAGCTTGACGGACCCTAGGGACTAGCACCTAATCAACATTAGCATTTCAGTTAAGTTAGTTGTTTCTTCATATTTACTTCCTTCCCCTCCATGTCCTTTGAAATTCTATATCGAAATTAAATACTTTAAACACTTTTTGCGACTACCAAGGTGAGTGCACCAGCTGGCACAGGGATGCATTGAATAGTAGCAGACTGTAACTGTATGTTGTGGTTCAAGTCTTGACTGAATTTCAACATTCAAATCAAAACGGAATAATCGGAAGAACTTTCCAGGAATAAGAGATGAAAAATAAATATTAGCAGAGGGTAAAAAGTGAAACTTTCGTTGATCTTGCCATCTCCCGATTCGTATCTTATCTAATCGGCAATTTTAATCGCAGCAATTGTCTGGATGATTACGAAGCTCTTTGGGCCTTTTACTGATATTTGACTTGGCTACCTACCATTTCGCAATAATATGACATTTCAAAAGTCATTACATGCCACTTAAATCCAATGAATGCATACCGAAACGAATCTCTTTTTACAATCGGATAGAACGGGTGTTACATTTATTTTTCTTATACATTTTTTTACGCTTATGTGGGTGGTGTACAAATGTCTCTACAATTCGTTTTGTTGTGTTTTTTGATTGTTAATTAAGCAAATATTTAAACGATTAAAAGCCACTAGTTATCTCACTTTACTGTTGCTGCTGCGAATGCGCCGCTCCACTTATTTCAGGAGCTGCACTGCAGTTCTCAATTACTTTTGGGTTACAGCAAACAACACTCCTGAACCTCATCCTGATCCTCCTGATCTTCGCTTATGGAATAATTAACTAAATGTTATGTAGAACTCGTAGAGGTGTCGCAGAGGAATGGCATTCCTCACTCCCATCTTAGATATTGGCCTTAATGACATCCACCAGCTTTTGGGCATTCGCGCCAGCAAACTCTTCGATCTTCTGGCTGTTCTTGAGGAACACAAATGTGGGCATGCTGCAGATGTTGTATTCCACGGCAATGTCCTCACACTCATCCACATCGACCTGCAGATAGATATGGATATTTATATATAAACCAAGCACTCAGGGGGGATATCCAGCGAGGACTCACCTTGAGAACGACAACATTGTCGGCGTACTGCGTGGCCAGCTCCACCAGCTTGGGTGCAATCATCTTGCAGGGGCCGCACCAGGTGGCATAAAAGTCCACGATCACCAGCTTGTTGCCTGCCTGCTGCAGCTGGGCATCGAGGTCAGCCTGAGGGAGAGCCAAGAGAGGAGAGGTTTAGTTTCACATGTGGATTTTCCAACCCCAATTGACTGACCCACTTTTCCCTTTCCATCCGTCTGCCTGTTCGTTGATCTCCCCAGGGGCTGCTAGTACAGCACTCCCCTCTGCTTATCGCCTGACATGTGCGCGATAAGGCCTGCCACAAAGTATTGCCTGGCAACCCCTAAATCCCCAACCCATCCCCCTGTTGGCGCTAATCAGATGTTAATGAGGTTTCTGTTTCTACATCTATGCACATATTTGTGTGTTCCGAACCGATCTGATATTCCGATTGAAATGTTTTCTGGCCATGTCGGAATTCCGCACAGAAATCAATATACTGCAAGAATTGTTTCTAAATTATATGTGGTATGTGTACCTATAAATTCCATATGACACGAGCAAGTGGAGAGTGAAATAAAGGTTGTTCTGGGGGCTGGGGCTGGGTGTTGTTGTGTGTTTTAGGGGCTCCGCCTCGGACACGTTTTCCGCGGTGACCTCTAATTAATTTGCGGGTATGCGCGATGGTAATCGCCAAACGTCGCAGTCAAAGAAATGGCTCTAATGGAATTACTGATGGACACGTGGGGGTATGATGACTCCCCCAGGGGTGGGAACTGGAGAAACCAGATCCGGTTTTCGGTGAGAGAATTAACATAAACGGAACAAGTTCTGGGAATCGCGTTTGAAGATGAGTGATCTATCGATGATTCATTCATTCCATGATTAAATCCCTTTTAAATGAATTAAATTTTGTATTTACTTTGAGGAATATTCTGGCACTTCCCGCCGATAAGTAGGGACATATTTTGTTGTGGCTTTACGGGGAATACATGTAGACCACAAGTGGAACCAATGTGAACCTGTTGTTAGGTTGCTTGTGCAGTGCATTAAATGCCAAGTGATGGAACTTGAAATATTCACTCTCTGACGAAATATTTAATATTTTATTTGTATTTATGATACTCGTGCAGTGGTAAAGGGGAAAGGCGAATTGCAGGGCAATCATTGAACCGGTTTCCACCCCTGACGCCGCCTGACGCTCTGGCCTCTGTGGCTTTGAATGGCGCGTACAAAACAGTACACCCTGCTGTACCCTCTATACGAGTAACCCCGAGACCCGATAGCGATTTATAGCTAACTCATGCACACACACACTCGCGTAGTACATTTGTTCATTTCACATTCATGGACTATATCTATGGCAGGCCAGAGATTACTCAATAATAAGTTCGAATGAATAGAAAAATTCCACTACTTTCTAGGCTCTCATTTGGACAAACGGAATGGTCGTCTTTAAGTGATGATATCATACCCTTCCTTACACTACTCTCTTCTTATTTTCCTCATCTCTCTGCTTCTCTATGCTATTCTCAGACTGGTTTTTGGGCTTTCTTTTCCGATTGTTTTCGCTGTTGCTGTCGCTTCCTCCTTTCCCACAGACATTCGCTGGAGCCGCCGCCAAAGCGACAGCAACACTGCATGAGGGCCACAGTCACATCCACAACAGCTACCCTCCGCCCCCGTCCTCACACTATTCGTCGTAAGCGAACGTAAGCGTATGGCAAAAGCGTGGAGAATGAAATGAAACGAAATGTGGGAGCAATGAAGAGTAGAGGAATTCCAATTACATTTCCACTTTTGCACTTCTTTTCCTATGCCACCGATTGGATTGGGGGTTGAAGGTTATTCCACACTTGGAGCCGGAACTTATTCACACTTATTCGCGAATGATTCACTCACCTTGTCTTTCACTTGGTAAACCATTATGTTGCTTAGGAGGTTGTTGGAGGTGTGCTGTGTGCAGTGTGCGGCGGAACCGGCGGTAGAAAATGTACAAAAGTTACTTAATTGGCTACGCCACGACGCAAGCTCGTTTCTGTGTTGGATTCGATTGATTGTAGGGAGCTTTTAAATAAGCTTTAACATACCTTGAAAAACAAGTACGAGCTGTGTCAGGTGAGCTTTGTATGAGTTGTGTAAAAAACTTTGCCGTTTGTACCTGATACTCTTACCTTGCCATGGCCGAGTCGAAAGAGAGCAATTTACGCTCTTCCGACTAATTTCCGCTGCATTCTGTTGCTTAATGTCGACTGACAAGCTGTTAAAATGCTTGCGCCCACAGGCCCCGAAGCGGAAATTTCTTGAACTTATCCAATGCATTTTGGTGCTTGATCTTCGAAAGAGAACAATTCACGCTCTCCCGACACATTTCTGCTAAATTTCGTTGCTTAACAGGGACTGCACATTGGCGCTGCAACCAAAGCTATTAACATGCTGTCAGCTAGCGCTCACAGTCCTCGTAGCGGACATTTCCGGAACCTCTCCAAGGCATTTGGTTGGGCTGTTTTCGCCGCAACACCACAGATGGCGCTTCTTTCAACGGAAATTCAAAACTCGTGCAAATTAACACATTTTTACAGTAGTACATAAGTACATTTACATAAGTATTTTAAACTTATGCGGAAAGCTGTCAGCTTGCGCTTGTAGAACACAGCGGACATTTCTCGAACTTTTCCAAGTCATTTTTGTGGGCTGTTTTCGCCACAACACCGCAGCTGGCGCTTCTTTTAAAGGAAATTCAAAACTCGTGAAAATCAACACATTTTTCATAATTTATTTTAAACTGTTGCTAAATGTTGTTTTTCTTAACAGCGACTGACAAGCTGTTAACATGCTGTCAGCTGGCACTCGCAGTCCCCATATCGGACATTTTTTTAAGTTCTGCAATGCATTTAGGTAATTGGTTTACGCCGCTACATCACAGATGGCGCTGATTGCAGCGGAAAGTCAAAACTCGAGAAAATCAACACATTTTTCATAATTTATTTTAAACTTTTCTGAATGTTGTTTTTCTTAACAGCGACTGACAAGCTGTTAACTGTCAGTTGGCACCCGCAGTCCTCATAGCGGACATAGTTTGAACTTCTGCAAATCATTTAGGTAATTGGTTTACGCCGCTACACCACAGATGGCGCTGATTGCAGCGGAAATTAAAAACTCGAGAAAATTAACACATTTTTCATAATTTATTTTAAAAGAAAACAATTCTTTAACACTACGAATACGTTACGGAAATTAAGATTTCGCCACTTATCACTATCACTAAACTAAAGGCTACTGGCTAGTGAGTGATTCCATTTACTTAAGTACTTCCCTATCAATGTGCCGCATGGGTGGCAGATGCTGCCGCTGGGTGGTGCAAGTGGTGATGATGATGATGATGGTACGTGAGCGTGGGCGGTGGGGGCGGCTGCGCTGGCGCCACAATCGAGGGGGGCTGTGTGATCTGTGCCATTTGCTGCTCGTACGAGGAATAAGGATCGTAGTAGGATCCATAGCCAGAGGCGCCGCCATGGTCGAGATTTGTTGCAGCAGAGGCAGTGGTGGACACGGGCGACACAGTGGTGCCCGTATCGAAGTAGCTGACTCCGTTGTAGCCATTGGCGCTCTCGTAATAGTGTCCTGCGGTGCTGCCAGGGAACTGCTGCTGGTGCGGATGGGAGTGGGCGTGGGCGTGGTGCTGCTGCGGCAGCTCGTAGTCCTGGACTAATCCCTTCGATGACTCCCGATGGCTGCTGTAGTAATAGTCGTAGTTATCCTCCGCATACGCCAGCGGCTGTGTTTCCACGGTGGCATTATACTTGACCGTTGGATGCGCCTCCCCTTCCCGTTCTCCCTCCCCTTTGCAGATGCCAGCCGCCTCCTCATGGATGCTCGTTGCACCCAGATGCTGCTTGATCTGCGAGTAATTGATGAACTCTGGCTCTGGCGTTGCCAACTGTGGACTCGACTCGTAGGGGATGTGGCACCCAGCGGCACCCTGGTGGCACATGGCATTGCTGTAGCCACCGCTGGAGGCGGAGGATTGTTGCTGTTGGTAGGAGGCCGCTGCCAGCTCCGAGATGCAGGCATAGGGTAGACCCGGGGACTTGCTGGGTGCCGTGGCAGCCGCCGGTGTGGCATGGTAGATGGTGGGATAGTTGTAGGTAATGTGCTGATGGTTAACCGTGAACACATTCGCTGAGCTCTCGCAGGGATTTGTCGTTGATTCGCCACCATTCAGCGATGGCCATCCGCCCGTCGCCACGCCGTTGCTCGCGTAGCTCGAGGATTGGCCACCCTCGAGGTAGCTGTGGCAGGTGCAGTGGCTGTAAGTGGTGTGGCACTTGCCACAGCCATTGAACGCGTAAATGTCCAAAGCGGAGGCGGCAGAGTGGCCCAAGGGATTGCTGGCCACCGTTGGACGATGCCCCTTGATGCCCTTTCCGATGAGATTCTGCTGCAAGATACAAGAATGTTCCTCTGGGGTTAAGATGTTCTGCCAGAGGCGACTGTGTGGACTCACCTGCTGCTTCACTTGCTTCACGAAACCCGCAATGACGGATTTCTTCGGATTACTTCCCCCCAGGGAGGATTTCCCACCCAGTTGAATCCTGCCAAAGGCTCGCTTCGAGACACTCGAGTTCTTTGGGTCGGGCCTTAGGTGATCGTGGACTCCTTTGGCCTGAAAGAAGATGGCATTCCCGGAGTGGCGCCAAAAGTGGGTCACGGGATAGCCGCAGTGGCCGCGGCAGGGCTTGATCTCCAGCCGACCGCCTCTGCAGCTCTTGTTGGGGCACTGTTTGCCCTCCTGCTTCCGTCGCGCCTTGTCACAGATGGCAGGCCGCAGATTGATCCTCGATCCATTGGGCAGGACACAGTGCTGGGAGCAGACCAACACCCCCAGGCAGCTCTTTTTGAGGATGTTCACGTTGTGGTTGTTGGTGTTGCGCATCGCCCAGCCGGAGATGTGCTTCTTGGCCTCCTCATTGTGCAGCGCGTAAATGTGCCGCACATGCCCGTCGCTCCACTCGCTGAACTCGTCGAATTCCAAGTCTGCCACATGCGGCACAATGGCATCATTGATGTCCCAGTCCCGCTTTGTCTTGACCGTCATTCCAGCAGAGTGGCAAATATTCTGCTGGCTTTGCTGCTGCTGCTGCTGCTGCTGCTGCTGCTGCTGCTGTTGGGGATCTTGTTGATGATTGCTGAGGACTTGCTGCGACTTGAAGCTGTAGCCATTTCTGTGAAAGAAAGTTACATTTGAATGAGTAATCCCTCTACTTTGATTTTGGATTTGTTCCCTTTTTTTTTGTCTTTTTAGTGCCTCGTTTAAGCAATTTGCATCTTAATTGCATCCTAAACTGTGAAGCTCGCTCTGTGTGTCTGTCAATCAAATGAAATGCTTTGCCTGCTCTTCAGATTTTACGATGCTGCCTCCTGCCCCATGAAACGCATAAATCTACCGTTGCCTCAGCATCAGTCTTCAGTCCAAGCCCCAACTCCAGTTGTAATCCAATCCGAGTCCAACTTGGTATCGTAATTTGAGCGCCAGTTTGGAGCGTGAAGCGCCAGCGGCTGAGTCAGACACGAGATTGAGAGTTGATCGAGACTTGATTGAAGGGGCAGCCCCCCATGTGTGTGGGAGGAGTGTGGAGTGTGTGGCCGATCATTTAGTGCGGCTCGCGGTCTCTGCAATTAGCCATAAATTTGTTTCGATTCCAGGCACCCAGCCTCGAGCGGTTTTTGTTTTTATGTGTACTTGGAAGCCAGCAGGTTGGCTCGACTCTTGGCCCAAGACTCTGCTAATAACTGTGGCCCTAACACCGATTCTGACTCTTACTCTAACTCTAACATTCATTCTGATGCTTATTTCGATACCTGGTGTCGTGTCGTGTCGTTTCAATCACTTGGTGGTCCGTTCCCCCTCTCTGATTTTTCCGTGTTGTGAACCTGTTGTTATGTGCGTCGTGTGGCAAGTCGCCGCTTGTGTGTCGGTTATCCGTGTTCTTAGCGCTTTGTTTTGGGCCCGTAAATTGACTGCCTGACACTTGGGTGTCTCTTGGGGCGCTCGTTAGTCGCTCGCTTATCTCAGATGTTGATTGCATCTCACTTCGTTCTGGTTCTTATTTTCCCCTTTGGCTTACGGGAAACTATCATAATAAGTTTGTCACCTAGAAAATATGTCTCTATATTCGAGACCCTTTCACTGGCCTCTTGCCTCTTGCTATATGCGCCCCCGCCTTTTTGTGGGGCATTTGTGTGTGTGGTCTCCCTCCTGCGGCGGCATCTCTATGGATCGCTCGCGATTGGAGTGCCACATTAACTAAGTTGTGGTGCACATGGTGCACCCCCCATGCTACAGGGCCGCACGGCCACAGCGTGTGATAATAAAGCGTTGGAAATCATTTACATTTTGTGTTCGCCCCTCAATGATCGTTTGATTTGTGGCACATTCTTGGGAGAAGGTGTGGGAGAAAGATGCCTCATTGGAGGCTTGGATTAGGATTGGTATCTCTAGATGTAGATGGATTTGTGTCAAGTGATTTGGGTTCATTTGCAGACCTAATACTGCATGAGATACCTGTGGAAGATGTTTCCTTTAAGGCGCCTCTTCTTTCTAGTCATATTCTGTAGGATTCTCTATCCCTCTACTCCCTTCCGCAACATTCACTTACATTACAACCATATTCCAAGTGAATCCAAATGAATGATCAGCTGCTGTAATCCCAGTGTTTTGAGTGTGGAAAATGGATCCCAATGGATGCCACCAATGAAAGCACTTCTAATGGAGTTATTTTTGTGGCTTATTTCACTTCACTACTGCCACTGCACTCGATGAACATTGTCATCCAATTATCCATAAAGATCTCACGGTTATGCCCGCTTTTAGCCGTCGCTAATTTAACGAATTGTGAAACGCACGCGACGACGACGACCTTTCACCGTGTGGCAACCTGTGAGAGGCAACTCTGTGCTGTGTACTGTGTGCGGCCAGATACTCCTCCTCGTGCAAGAGACAAAAACAAAAGCAGCGTTACGGCAGCAAACAAAAGCAAACTTCAGCGCTGAAGATTCAAAGAGAGGGAGAGAGCGAGAGAGCGGATAGCGGAGACACGGAGCCACGGCGTGCGAGCGATGCCAAGTTTTGTCAACAAAAGGAATGGATTTTGGCTCTTACTATGTGTGGCACTGGGCACTGTCTCTGGCTCCACCTACAAAAACCCACAACACAAAAAGAAGGCGAGTGGCAAGCGGGGGGCAGACAGCGAGGGCGGACAGATGGATGGAAAGACGACGGAACCACCCGCATAATTTGGCAAAAACTCCACACACACACACACACACACACACACACACACACATACACACACACACACACACACACAGAGGAATAGCGGAGGTCCGACGTCGGCGCATAATCAACGGCCACCAACAGCAGCAGCCAACAGGGCGCAGAGGAGCTGCCGCAGCTGCCACAGAGTGTGCTGAAATGTATCCGTCAGATGCACAGATACACAGAGCCAGAGAGCTCCCTTCCAGGCAGCTACTTCTTCCAGGGCAGCAGCGACATTTGCTCATTGCTGATTGGTCGGATAAACGCAGCCACGCTGCATCTCTGTCTCTCTTGCTCTCTCCCTGCTTGGAGTATTTGTGCTCTTCGCTGTGTGTTTGTGTTTGTGTCTGCGTTGCTTTGAGAGTTTTTAAAGTTCTGCAGAAGGAGGGGATGCTGTACTTGTGTGCAGTGCAACAAGCCGATAAGAATCACAGAAATTTAATTACTTATTATGCGCCGCTTATCAGGCGCCCATTGTTCCGCCGTCGAAGGATGGATATAGTCTGCCCCACCACCACAAACAAGCAAACGACTGGCAGGCAGAGCAATCAAGAGAATGTTCCTGATTGTATCATCTCTGAAATGTTTGGTAAATCATTTCTAACTTCAATGATTTATGATAGAAATTAAACCTACCAATGGATACTAAATGGAGAAGATATCGCTGTATCTTAGTCTGTTTCCATTCAGTTATATTTTCATAAACCTTTAATTGCACTCGAAATTTAAATGAAATTTCAAGAATAAATTACGCACTTCCATTAGGGCTAAGTGTGGCTTTGGGCCTAGCTGAAAGTGGTAACAATATCAGGGCCACAGAATGAGATCAGCCAAAGGGCACAAGAGGAGTGCATGGAGTGTGCGAGGGGAGGTGCTCCTGGGGGCAAATGCTCTGCCGTGTCGTGTGCGTTTTCACCTGATCGCATCGCCCGCATTCGCCATTTGGGGCACAGCTAAAATACTGGCAACAAATACACAAAAAAACACAACGCACCCAGATACGGATACAGATACAAATACATTAACAACAGATACAATGGGAACAATTAACCAACGACAGAGAGACAGAAGCAGAAGCAGAAGCAGAAGCCGTGTCATCAGAGGAGTCTTTCAAAGAAATGAAAAGAAAAGAAATGGAGGAGCCGCACCGAGCTCAACCGCCAATAGGCAGGCGGCGTTCAAGTAGAAATGGAAATGGGAAAAGACTGTTGACAGGAAATGCAAAGCGGCACAGTGGCAGTGGCAGCGGCAACTGTTGCTGCTGCTCATCGACTGTGACCCGTAATTAAAATGTGTGGCAAAAGGAGCTGGAGTGGGAGGCACTCAAAGATACGGGATTGGGCCCTCAAGAGACGCACAGAGAAAGAGAGGACTGTGCAACTGTGTAACTGCGCGCGGAAGTTTACAGAAATTAATGGCTGCTGCTGGCCATTTGCTTGGCCCCCTGTGTTACCTCTCCAACCTCTGTGTCTGCCGTTTGTTGTCGCTTTAACGCTCCTCCAAACAGAGCAACACACAGCAAATGATACGGGTGACAAATACATATTTCAACAACATTGGCCAGAAGACAGCAGAGGCCCAGAGAGGGAGAGAGAGAAATGATAGAGAAATATTCACAATTTTACAGCTGAAGTGGAACATAACTCTGCGGTTTCACCTGGGGGTTCATGGTTCATGGTTCATGGTTCATGCTGCAGCAGCTGCAACACACCCTTTGGGGGCAGGGGGATTTTTGCAATTAATTGCTGAACATTATTTTATAATCATTGCGTAGTTTAATGTAGGTAAAGAGCCACAGAGAGGCGAGGCCCCCCCACAACGATAGATACGTAGACCTCCGAGGCGGAGTCCCGCTGGTAAGTGCCTAATGAGCGCGTGCCCTCCGCTCTCCCCTGGGCCCAGTCATTGGGGGCACCAAAAGTGTTTTTTTTTTTACTTTTAGCGCACCAGATTAATCATCGATCTGTAAAAATCAATAAAAATTGGAATTGGTGTACTCTGAAATGGAGTTCCAAGAGCTTTTCGAGACCTCAAAAATATGTGAATAATTAATTTGCTAGATGGAGCTACACTGAGAGAAAAGCAGGCCCCTATGGATACGTTCTTGCTGCCAATTTGTGGCTCCAACTCTGTAACTCTTAGTCTGCCTGGGAGTGTGATATGTGGCACAGACCCCGAAAGCACTTCTTTCCATTTACGCAATTAATTGGTCGTCACGCTGGGAGGTCCACTAATAGATCCACGAAAATCCTAAAGTCCCAAAAGCCAGAGCCATAGCCATAGCTCTGTAGGGCTTCATGGATTAACATTTTGTCTATTGACTGATTGAATGATTGATAATTGCCAGCAACACACAAACCCAACCAACGAGCATCACCCACAAGTAACGAACATGAACATGAAATTTTGACAAATGTCTTGCGATGGTAGGGTAGGCCAAAGGGTAGGGGTAAACCGAGCTCTTGCTAATGGCCCTCTTGTTCGGAGGAGACGAGACCCAATCTTAGGTGGAGCTGCTCCCCGTTCTTCGTGTATTTCTTATAAATGAGTTCGATTAGAACCCAATTACAAGGGTGGAATGCTCTGATGGCCCTAGCAGCCCCGAAAGCCATTCTTCCCGCGGGGAGGGAATTACTTTTGATCATAAAATTATGACTCATAAATTTAATTTTATGACTTCTTTGGGACCCAGGCAACAAAAACACTCTCCAACCCAGGAGAACGAAGATCTTCTCTTACACCGAAAAAAAGAGCCAGAAGTTGTGTAATGAAGCCGCAGAAGGTGCCAAAATTATGTGCAACGAGGACTGTAATTTTCGCACCGAAGGTGCTTAAAGACCCTGCCATTGCTTCATCACTCAAATTGCCCGAAATCGTATCGTTGCAACGTGGCTGTCGCTGTGGTGGCTGCCACACTCTTTAATCAGCTAAATGGACTGTTGAAAATTCGGCAATTGGCAGCGTAATCACCTTCTGGGTGCAAGTGGCAGGCAGCTCCTGGAGCCACGCGTCCGTCCGTCTGTCCATCCATCCCTCGGTTCTTCCTTCGATTGTTTGCAGAATGAGAGCCACTGCAGACTCAATTTGGGCATGGATTTGGGGGTGTGGCAGCTGGGAGGTGCCCCCAATCGATGGCCCTAATGTTCCTTGGTTTCATGAGCAGTTTGATTGGGGACAAGGAACTCCAGAGAACGGTAGAGACAGAGACCCTCATACTCGTACCTCGTACAAGTAAATGGGAGTGGGGATCGATACTCAATCGAAGGCATCTGGCATCACCCATCTCCCCAGTTGCGGTTAGACGATGATTCTACGCTGACCTTCTCTTGGCTTAAGCCAATGCCTCTGTGTCCCAGATATCACGATAAGATACGGCTAAATGGTAACAATCTCGAAGATAAAGCAGAGCTGAAAACTGGATTTCCGATTTCATTTTTATTCACTTTCAATTGTCGTCTGAGCAGGCGAAATCTGTTGGTCACAATCAAGAGTCAATCCCAGATCCAGTGGCACGCACCACTGGACCGGACCTGCCTCAAGAGCGGGTCAGCAGACGCCAATAAGTGAATGGTTCGAATAACCGTTTAAACTTAATTACGATTATGATTATGATAATGATTATGCTTGCTCATGAGAGAGCTTAACTTATCAGCCGCCCATCAAAACGAAGGGGATTACAGACCGACAGAGCAAAGAGGTCCGAAAGGAATATCAATGAGCGGGAGAGGAGAAGGGAAACATGAGGAGAAACAGGTGCTAAAGAGAAGGAGCCACACAGAAAACAGAGAAGCAGAGCCCAAAGAACCAAAGTAAATAATAACAACAATTAATTTAGTTTCAAAACAAAATTATGGCAATGGGAATGCTTGGGCTTGGGCGGGCGGGGGATCCCAATGGATGCAATGGATGCAGGGCACGTAGACGGCACGGGTTGCTGCAAGCAGACCACGAAGCAGAGGAAGTGGCAAGCAGACTGCAGACTGCGGCAAGCCGCCAACCCAACAGCTGCAACAGCCAGCCAGCCAGCCAGCCAGCCAACCAGCCAGGCTCTCCTTTTGGACACAAGTTATGCTGGTGGACCGGCCGGCCTACTGGCTTCTTTTGCTACAGAATGAGGCATGAGGCATGAGGCTAGACGACACTTGGAATCAAGATTTACATGCCTGGTGCATGCCTCGAGCCAGGACAAGCACGTGCCTGGCATTCAATGCGCTTCAGGGAAAGGTGCAAACATCGAAAATAACTGAAAAACTCCCACGTTCATTTATACTGTGACTCCTCCCCACTCGAGATTGATAGATTGATGCATTGATGATGCTCCCTCCCCTCATATGATCAATCACTTTGGCTCTTCCACTGAAGAGCGAGCGATCTGTTGTTCCGTTGTCTCTCTGTGTGTCTGTCTGCGATTCCCGCCCCATGGTAACAGTCCAAACAAAGCCACTGACAATTGCCTTTGACAGTTTTTAGCGACAGTCTTTTTGCATATGCTGATTCCTGATTCCCGATGCCAAGGGGAAGTGGAGAGCAGAAGAGAGTGATTGATATTTCGGGACAAGGCAGCAGCAGCAGCAGCAGCAGCTGGTTCTGGTCTAATGGATATTTAAAGTGCCAGCGAAGGAGCAGCAGCAGCAGCAGGGGGAGAAGTGTGAGCCAAGAGACAGATTGAATGGAAATCATATACCAGCCATAAATGCAATAAAATTATCTATATTTTC